ATTAATCTACTTTTATCTATTTCTACCTATTCATATCACCTAGGTAAGAATTACAATAAATATATGTCCGTAACAGATTAATTATGAGATCCACAATAAACAACTCCTTGTAATTGCGGATTTATTTCTGAAATAAATAAATTCAATATTAATTATTGATTCAATCTTTTTCAAGAAAATTCAATCAAATATGTCCTCTAATCCTCTTATCTATGATATCAAGAATAATTCTTCTAAATCTCATAATACTTCCAAGTTCAAGTTCGAAAACAACCTATTCTATTTCAAAGGCAATTATATATTCCAAAAGGTAGAACAAGATTAAGTGTTCTTCATACTTGTCATGACTTTCCAATAAATGAATATTTTAAATACAAGACTTTGGAGCTAATATTGAGAGATTTTTGGTGGCCTCAAATGTGAAAGGCAATCAAAGACTTTGTACAATCATAGGATATTTGCTTAAGATCCAAAACTCCTCACCATCAGCCTTATGGACTTTTTCAACCATAACCTATTTTGAAACAACCATGGTCTTCCATTTCTATGGATTTTATGATGGATCTACTAGTCTTAAGTTGGTATAATTCTATATTTGTGGTAGTAAATCAATTTATCAAGATCGCACATTTTGTACTATAAACAAAATCTATCATAAGTAAAGAAACATCTAAGTTATTTTTTAACAACATCAATTGCTATTATGAATTATTTGAAGATATTATATCAGATAGAGGTGCTCAATTTATATCAAGATTTTAGATAATTCTTTTAAAGATTTTAAAAATGGATATAAAGCTCTTTTTGATTGATGGACAAATAGAACAGGTGAATTAAGTTTTGGAGCAATATTTGAGGTGTATTATTAACTATCATCAAGATGATTGAGTAACTCTTTTATTATTAATACAATTTACATATAATAATTTGATACATTCTTCCACTCAACTAACATCTTTTTTTGCTAGTTATGATTATTATCCATGACTTTGATACTTTTGACTTATTAAAAGTTAATAATCTTGCAACGAAAGATTTGGCAAATCGTTTATTAGAGCTATATACAACAATGAAGGTATAATTATAGAAAGCTCAAGAACAATAAAAGACTAATATAAATGCCTATTACAAAGAACAACTATAATTCAACATAAGTGATAAGGTATAGTTACTGTGTTATAATATCAAGACTACTTGTCTTTGTAGTGAGTTGGACTATTATAGACTTGGACCTTTTCTTATTAATAAACAAGTCAATCTTGTTGTTAATTGATTATATCTATTGGAGTCTATGAAGATTTATTCTATATTCTGTATATCTATTTTTGAACCATATAAGACAATGAATATCTTAAAAAGAAGACAAATGCCACCTCTTCCTATAGAAGTAGATATTAATGAAGAATTCAAGGTGGAATATATCTTAGATTCAAGGTGAAGCCAAAATAGATTAAAATATCTTATTCATTGGTACAAATATAATATTAATGAATGCACACAGAAGCCAACAAAGAATCTTGCAAATAGAATAAGATAATTGAGACTTTTCATTGATAATATTTATCAAAATCAAATTAAAGAATAATAAATCCTTGCTACAAAAGTAATAAGATCCAAGGAAGATAATATTCTATCTTCTATATTTTTTTATAGCTTTTATATATTTGTGATGCTAAGGAGATGGAAAATCAACAATAAGTAGATTCAACTCAAGAACTTTTACTTATTGACGTATCTGATGAGACATTGTAATTGTCACAACCTTTATGATGACATAATTGAGATGAAGATCCTCAAAAATGACATATCTTTCTTTAAATGCATGGAAAGATACACCATGTTTGGTATCACGACTTTAGAAGAGACTCTTGATGTTTGGTGATTTTATTAGAGATAGAAACAACTTATGACGATGTTCTAAATGTTTTATTTGAACAAAGTTATAAAGGCCTGAACAAAAATCAAATAATAGGGTAGTCTTCTTACTCTGATATGGGATACTATTGATGGTTGAAAGGACCTATCAACCACGTTTGAAGAAAATAAAGATTAGAATATGTGGCAAATATAATTTGTCATATCTTAGATTTCATTAATATATGGTGATTGCTCTTTGTGGAACTTGTCCCTAGAAGAAGGAATAATGTCACAAATATATTTACATATTCTAGTAAATATTTATATGATTAGGTATAAATAAATAAAAATAGATAAAAATAAATTGATTTTATAATACCTTTTAGAAAAGCTTCTTAGAAGCTTCATAGAAATTGCTTTGACTTTACATGTGTTTGTAGTTGATTGATACGTTAGAAACTTGGTCAACAAATTAACCACATATTGACAACTTACAAAATAAGCTAATTTATGTGATGTATATATGAAAAACTTATCTTACAACTTAAGATACGTGTCTTGTAAAGTCAACATGTTTTGGAGATCCTATAGGACATCGCCACATAGCTCCTAGTTAAGAATATATATGGAGGTATAAATGAAGCCTTCTTTACTCTTTTCAATGCCTTTCTAGTCTTTAGTCTTGTTTCAAGACTTTCTAGTCTTTAGTCGTGTTTCAAGACTTTCTAGTCTTCTTGTTTTTGGCAATAGCCATTCTAGTTCAATATTATATCATCTTTGAGTGACTTTTTAGTTCTTTTTAGTGACACAAGAATGTATTGAAGATTTCTTTCTTTGAGATTCATGTCCTTGACATATAATCAAGTTGTTTGATACATGTGACATTATATTAAAATAATAAAAATAATAAAAAATGATCCTATATTCTTTTAAATTTAATAAAAATACTAGTTTATTTTTAGTGGATATTGATTTAATATTTATTATATAATTTTAGTATATTTTTTCATCAATTTTTATTTTTAAACTCAATTTTTTTATTGCACTATAAATACATGCTAATAACACATCTTTGGTATTTGTTAACTTTTTACTTTTATTTTTAATTTTTTAATACTTTACAACCAAATAAAAATATTAGGATTATTTTTGGTAGATTTCAGTGGGCAATCTATTTACTAAAATCTTGTTTGCATTTGAAATAAGTTAATACAATCTATCATAAATTGAATAAATTCATTTTCAAATATATAATACCATTCACTCCATCAATATGGATTTTCCAACCCTAAACCCATGAAATTAACTTCTTTATCTTCCCTCCTTCCTTTATTTATTTCCTTTTGTGGCAACACTAGCCACACAAGACTAGTTTAGATTAACCTTATTATTGCATAGATTTTTTTTTCTTAGAAGTATAATAAAAGAGAATAGAAAAAAGGTGAAAATTTTAGTCCTTGTGTATGATACACTTGTTTTTACCCTCAAATAAGACCATATTTAAATATTAAAATAACGAAATAAATCAAAACCCTAAACTATTCCATAAACTAGACAACTAGACTCTCCAAAGGCAGCTCAGTTGGATGACAGCACGCTCCTCTCTGTGACGCGTTCATCCATACATCCACGAGTTCTTTCATCGAGTCAATCATTCATCACAAGTGAATGAATGATGCCCTCACAGTTTGGACCCCAGCAGCCTGACCTATGGTCGTCGTCGCCGCTGCCGGCGATCCGCGGCTCTGGGCGGCTATAGTTCCTCCTCAAACACAAGGCACAAGCTATAACTTTCAGACCCAAATACGAACAGCTCCGTCTAAAATCCAGCCACAAATGCTGCGTCCGACGACAGGGAAGAAAAAAAAAAAAAAGGATATCTGCTTGTGGAACAACAACAACAACCTCGGTGCTGGATAATTTATATTCTGATAATCCTTTTACGGACTAAGTCCACATTGCTTTTGTCTGCGTAGGATTAATCGATGTAGTGATGTTCTCGAGCAAGAAGGGGGTGATTTTCCAAGGTAATACAATCAATCTCCCACTGGATAATGCGAAAAAACCTAGACTCACCCAGTAGACTTCCCTTGCTTCGAAGCGCTGATGTGGGCTGCTTGCAAAAGGCAGACCCACAAACACACGGTCTCGTCGTGCTTCAAAGGTGAGACCATATTGTGTGGTACTTCCCATGCACACACAAGTTCAGTGCCTGCAGTTATCGTAGTACAAGTGGTGCGGTGTTCGTAGTAGTAATGGTGGTGGTGGTCGTCGTCGTCGATGGAGGAGTAATCGTATGGGGTGGAAAAAAGCATCTGTGTCGTTTGAGCTTGTGTGAAAATACTGCCAACAAACAAACAAAGGGAGTGCATGATGAGATGCTCTTCCGCCAGCTTTTCTGACACGGTGAGACGGTTTCAGCCACTAGATTTTGCCTCCTTGGACAAACAACTGAAGGAACGCCGCGTTCGGGCGAACGGGTGTTGCTGTTCGTCGACTGGAGCCTGACAAGATCAGCCCTGACTATTGGGGGCAGGCACATGAAAATTAGTGGAACGGAAAGAGCGCTGCTGTGCCACTGTCACGGACACGCTCAATGTCCTTGGCGTCGTGGATAAGAGGCAGATGTCCATTCCCTCCCGTACACGAGCCAAATAAAGCGCTGGAACACGTATTGACGTAGGGGTTTCTCCAACTGATTGCCTCGGTACGCTTCTTTCGCGTGGCTATCTGCAACGGGAATATGGACCCAGCACCAAGTCTCACCCGATCCACCCCACAGGTTCAGATATTCGTTCCTGTCATTGCATAAAGGCGTAGAAGATGCGGGAGCCAATGCTTTTGGAAAATAATTGTTGCATACATTTGTGACAGGCCCACAGGGTATTGGTTCACAAGAATTTATATTTTTTTTTCTTTTTTTATGGGTAGCAGTGTCCTCTTGTGATCCAATCTCACATGGTAGATTCAGACCCTTGAAATATGCATGATCTTTTCCACGAAATTCAAACATGAGGCTTATATGGCTTCAAGAACAAATGCACCTATCCGGTTTTTGTGGTTTTACTAGGCGATACCAATAACATTCTGACTGCGAGATAAGGATAGCATTCAAAAAGAAGAAAGAAAACAGACTCGAGATGAAAAGAGGGAGTTGTAGGATGTTGAATCTGATAATTCCTGCTCAACGGGGAAACAAGCTCCTCCGTCGGATGAGTACAAATTTGGAGGTCTGCCAGGCCACCACAGGTGTTGTACCTGCAAAGACTGCAATGGGCGGAGCCACGCAGATCCAATGCCTGACTCTGGGTGCTGGGCAGAAGCCATCGCTATATTTCACCATCAGTCTCTTCAGCTTCGGTCATGAACTTGGATTTCTGTCTGTCTGAAGTAAATTAACAGTCGCATGTGGCGGTGTATCCATCGGAGCCCTATCTGTTGTTTCATGCCTCCCGATATTCAGCCGGTTTCCCTGGCCCATCTTCAGTACACACATATATTTTATATTTTGTCCGATACGCCCGTTTTGTTCCTGCTTCCGCGATTCGCCGGGTCAAGATTTTAGCATGCTTGGCCTTTCTGCTTTCGTCCAGTGTCAAGCTTGGTGCATGGAAGGGATTGATTCTTAAACCTGTTGCTGGCCCTAGGAGCCGTCACTGTGTGTTGATTTGGAGGCTCCCTACCGCAGGAAATTCTCACAGCTTTAAACATTGCTCCAGAGAGGCGGACAACAATGTCAGCATCTGCAAGCATAGATCCTGCAAGCACTGGTCCTACAAGCTGGAATTTGTGCTGCAGATTGGGATACTTGACGTACTAGTTGCAGGTCAACTGGAAATTTCAGAGTGTTCCACTCCTAGGGCTCAAGTCAATGATGCTTTCGTTGCTCTAGGTAGTTTTGCAACCATGCTCTACGACGTGGCTATGATCTCTACATGCATCATTTCACTTCGACGGGGGGCAAAAAGGAGCTGTGATCAAAAACTATTCCCGCATCTTTCGAGCAACTGCACCCCTAAAGGTAAAATGAAATTAAGAATTTTGTCAGCAGACACAACTTATACCTAGAGCACAAAATCACGTAGCACACAATGCAATTCTCCAGGCAGGCAGGCAGAATCACACCTGTGTGATCTGGTCCACATCGGAACGGTAACACACTCCTCCTGGAGCTTTCCAGATTAATATGTCTATCGCACATGGAAGAAACCATCGCCAGGAACGAACCGCAAACACTCAGGACTCAGACACCGTCCCAGCATATGCTAGGGCTCTACAGTTCAACCAGTCAGAGATTTCACAAGTCCCCACTTGATCATCAAGCAATAGCGGTCCAAGTCTGCCACTCCGCTACTTCCAGACCCAAAAGTGGACCAGATTCTCACACCACAGTCCAAGACTTTCAAAACAGCCCACATTTCCTTGTCCATTTCGACGTCTTCCGCATATTCTCCATCTCCATCGTCACATCCTTTTCTGCCCTTTTCACTGCTCAAAGCTTCCTTCGCATGCATGCAACGCTGAGGCCGTGGTGGATACTCAGTCTCTCGAATGTTTGTGCTTGTTTTATTCTGTATGTGAGGAACAGGGAGTGAGTATATGTATATGTATATATATATATATATATATATATATATATATGTTTTAGAAAGGAGGAAGTTTGAATTTATCTGTAGGAGACTAATAACACCGAGATCTTTAAAAATGAATTAAAATGATACAAACAAGTCTTCTCATTATTCAAGTAAAAGTTGGATGGAGTTTTCATAGAGTTTGTATGAAGTTTTCACAAAGCTTTTCGTCTTTGAAGGAGGAGAGGAATTCACAGTAGAGGAAATATTTCCGAAGTGGAAGAATCTTTAAGTGATGCGAGATTCACTAACAATTTAAGCAACCAAAATGGCAATTTAGCAGAATTTAACATTGTTGATGGTTTGTTGTATACACAAATAACACATGTACAGATACCTTTTTTTTATTTTTTTTATTTTATTTTATTTTATTATCATGCAATAGCGTTTATAACATATGTTATTCTTTATTAAAACTATTTTTACAAACTAAGCTCTATAAAATAAAATACGTGTCCTTATGTAAACATGAAAAGAAATGTTATTGTGCCTATTGTATTTATACAAGATTATTAATATTACAAAATTTTGAATGTTTTTATGATTTTTTGTACGTTTAGGAAAACAAATCTTATAAAACAAATACTACTACATTATAATGTGCATTTTTAATTTCAAAGTGGTCCACTCCTATAATATTACCCCCTGGTATTATCCAATGATTCAAACTTTATTACTCCATGGTATGGAGTTAGAGAGGGAAGAGAATTAAGGCAATGTATGCAGTTTTTGATATTTGACTCACCCTGTTTTGACATTTTGATTTCAAAATCATCCACCTTGCAAGGTCGGTGATTTGGTGAAGTATTAAGTGATATTTTGAAATATCATGGATACTTTGAGCTTGCATCATGGATGTAACATCACCCAAAAAGGTTATGTTTGAAACCCCCTATTATTTAGATTTAATATTTTTGATATTTAGAATATTAATTTTACATCAAATCAAATAGAATAAGACACTAAACCATTTTGTGTAATGCATATCTTGCATTGTAGGTGTATCATGTTTATTCCTAAGTATTTTAATCATCATGTGGATTGCATGTAATTCAACATGTTACTTTACATATTGTGTTCTATTATTACTCAAATCTTTAAAAAATCCATATATATATATATATATATATATAATAATTCTATAGAAATCTATATTTATGCATGTAAGAATTGTTTTTTAGTATAAAATATTAACTTCTTATGTATATATATATATATATATATATACAAGAAATATATTTAAAATATCTATATTATATAAAAAGATAATATAATATGGATAGTATAGATAATTCAAACAAAAATAGTTAAAAAAAAAAGAAAGATCATTTTATTTTCTTAAATTTATATCAGCTCACAAATAGTATAATAAAATTCAAGAATAAAATAAATAATTAAGATGCAATTTATATTTACTATTTTTATATTCTCTCATGCAAGATTTTTTTTCTTAGATGTGTGTGTGCATATATATGTGTATATATATATATATATATATATATACACATATATACACGCATGCATAAAAAAATTTTGAAGAGTATCAACTGATTATATTATTATTATTATTATCTTTTTATATAATGTTTAAAAAAATTAGTATCAATTATTTGATCATGTAATCAAGAAGACATGTTTGTATTTTAAAAATTATTTTATATATATACATATATATGATCCATTTATCTTAATTAATCAAAATTTTAATCTATAAGATTGATTTATTAATAATAATTATTAAAAATACTATAATTTTGTAAATTCAAATAGCTATTTATATTATTTATATAATTTTTAAAAAATAAACAAAAATCTGCTATTGTATTTTGATTTAACAAATTTGATGGTCAATTTTTTTCAAAATAACTATTTGTGGTAATATCCTAAAATCATAGACAATCTCTTGACGTAAAACATAAGAAGCATTGCGATTGAAAAATATAAATTAAAAAGAATAAAAAAAATAAGCATTGCGATTGAAAAATATCAATTAAAAAGAATAAAAAAAATGGATGGCTAGAAAATTATTAAAAAAGTAGAAGGCAAATGTAGTAATTTGTGGAGTGTATTGAATGACGACACTGATGGTGGACCAAGATGGATTAGGCTCCACTCAAAGCTATTTCCATCTTTACTTAGAAAATAATTGCTAACAATTTCCTAAGATTTGGTTGATCAAAACTTCTTCGACCAAGGAAAACAACTGCTACCTGAATCAACATTTTCCAAATTACCCACATCAAACCTTCCTAGTCTCATGGCCACAAACATATACTCGTTTCAACAATAAATATCAACCTCCATTGAACCAAAAGCAGAAAACTGTCAATAACAACAAGATCAACAAGACAGAATTCTCAGTCCGACATTTTACATCTAGAAGAAACTCATGAATAGACCGGTTCTCATATGATCAAAACTAAGCGTGGGCCAAGTGTGTGGAATGCGAGAAAAATAAAAATTGTTGTTTAGGCAGAAGACAAGAATAAGAAGAAGGAACACAAGTAAAAAAAAATGAGTAGTGAAAAAGAGAGCAATGTAAAAGTGGGGGTTCATGTATCTCCTCATCCGAAAAGCATCAGAAATGGGTAGAGCAAGCCATACTACTAAAATAGCAAAAGGCTTGGTGCCGAGGAAGTATGCGGCCCCATCTTTTGAGCAACCCATAAGATATGCGGGGTAGTTCAAAAGGAAAGAGGACGGGGTGTGTACATAAGTCTAGGGACAGATAGAAGTGGACAACGAGGTCTACCGACGCTGGATCCCCACATCTGGAAGCTTCGGGGTCATTGAAACAAACAAACAAACAAATAAACAAATAAACAAGACAAGGTGGAGCTCATGCCAGGACTCTTCCCAATGGGAGCTACTATATGCGGTTGTTGTTGCCCACCATGACTTCACCGCCCTCAGTTTTTGTCCAAGCCTTATTGATTACCTCCCACCAGCTCCTTTGAACGCCTAGAACTTGCATTCATGACCAGAGCCGAAAGCATCAAAGTGCTTTGTGCTTTGAGAGCTATCTGGCCTACCCCCCCACCCCCCCTCGTGCAAGTCCTGCGAAATAAGCCCACTCTGCTTTAGTTACCAGAGCCAAAAACTCACTCGTCTCCGAACCCAAAAGTAAAACCTACATTTTTGACAAAGGGTCGCGTTCTGTGGTCCTCAGTAAAGCTAAACTAACTGGGTATGGTAATCGTCGACTAATGACAAGGTGGGGTGTGATTAGCACTGCAGAGATCTGACTTCATCAATCACGGTGTGTATGGCAGTAGTGAAAAGGGTGTTTGAATGGGTGTGGGATCGCGATGCCCTGCGAAGTGTAACTTGGAGGCCTTAAGTGAAGGCAGTAGCTTGAGGTTGTAGCATTAGCATAGGAAGGTTGGGGTTTAGCATGTTTCCACTAGATGCTGATATTTTAGTCAAATGAAATATAATAATACGTGTGCATGGTAGTAGCGCCACGCGATGAAATTTACTCGTTGCAAAGACGGCAAGGAGGGAGAAAAACCCCTTGTCAACATGAATCAACCAGTTCTTGTAATCCTCCGCCCTTCGGTAGGCCCTGGTGCTACAGCACCGACCTTTAAGAGGTCGTCTCCCGCGTCTCGGCAATATATGAGTCCTGGCTGCTGAATTCTATTCCATGTTTTTAGCTGCACCTGATTCCTGGATCCTGTGCTGAGTGTTCCTGTCAATCGTTGCGCTCCTTTAATCTCGTAAAGAATTCGAGTCAGAAAAGAATTGGTAGCCAGAGAAGCTCCGAAATCCTCTACGCGCACATTCCTCTGAATGTGAGGAACTTTCACAGCTTGTGTGACGATCGAGTTATAACTTGGCACGGCGACCACCTGTGCAGATTCATTTATCTTTTGAGGTACTCCCCTTTCCCAGCATATATGAAGACTTCCCTTTCATTTGGGATTTTGCGTTACTCCGGTTTGCCATACATCTCTCAGGACTTCTTAAGGATATAGTCTGATTTGTGAGTCTCGAATCCTCATTACTACGTGGGTGGGTGGAAAGCTGTGAAGCTGAATCTCTAAGGCTCAGCGCTTTTAGTTGGAACCGGCCTTGAGTCTGTGAAAACTCAGATGTTTCATGAATTTATCTAGCGCTCAAAAGATGTCACGAAGAAGTTGGAGGAAGAGATAGTCCTGTGATGATGTTGTGAAATCCCGCAAGACATGAAACGCATAATCTCATGCACAATTGGACACCCCTTCCCATTGTTAATCACTAGACTTAACGTTATGAACGGATGAAGATGTTGTGGCTCTTTCTGTATATCTCTTGAAATGTTTCTGCAAATAAAATAAGCGTGAAAAGTCTCGTAAAAATGTAGCTTCCATCGTGCTCGAAGCTGATAGACGTTTAATTTTCTGGACCCCAGGCATTAATATCCTATCTATATACGAAGATATTTTACACGTGGAGGAATGTCATGGGACTGTCGGATTCATGCTCATGCTGCAGCCTTGTTCTCGACAACATAATTAATTAAAAGTGGATTCTGAGATTCATGTTTTCTCAATAGTGAGCTTGCTGCAGGTTCAATTGCTATTAGCTCCATCTGGTTATTCGATATGGCGGTAGGAATGGCTCGTGGGGAAGAAGTTCAAAGTGCTGTCAACTATGACAGTGGCAGCAAGTCCAAGTACAGCGTTGACATGACCAAGCCTATGGTTGCTCAAGTGAGTGTAATTTGCTCAGTGGGATATACGCTCGGTTTATGGCTTCACGCAATCGGTCTTGAACATTACAATTCTCAATGACTCTAGAATTCATCCCAATCCTCCGCTCGAGACTGTTATCTATGTGCGATGTATTGATCCAAGTGAATGACACGTTGTCCACCGTAGCTAGATATTCATTGGGCTTGTTAAATGGTCCCTGCCTGAGCCATGCGGTTCAACTTCGTATCGCTTAAATGGATAGCAAGATAACCAGAAGACGGCCTGAAATCCCAAACAAGACATGAGCTCTCAAGGAGACAAGTTGTGTTAAGAAACGTACGATGTATTTTCTCAAAAAAAAAAATAAATAAATAAATAAACTCAACGTCGGAACGGTACTCTTCGTTTCTGACAGGTGGGCCACCTCGGGGCATATTACGACGAATGGGTCCACCAGCCGGTGATGCGCAAAGGAAGCCCCAGATTCTTCCACAGCAACGTTCTTGAGGTGGGTGGAAACTGCCTTTACTCATTCCAGTCTTCCCCAACAGCAAACTAAATGGTTGTTTTCCTAACTAAAGAAAGCGCGTTGCTACTCCGGGAAAGTTCAGATTAGCTTTTGCAAGCACGAAATACTCGTCACCCAAGGGGTTCAAAGAGTAATGAAAAGGGCTTCAAAAGTTTTATCGAAGTGCAAAGTGGCTGGGATTTGACAATGGTGGTCGACCATGTAGATGGGAACCAAAGCGAAATGGTGGATGATTCCTGGCATTTGGGGGCCTGCGGTGGCGGTTTGCGTATACAGAGCAGTTTCTGAGGGGCTTCCTCTGCACATGGTTGTGGCTACCTTTTGCGTGGGGTTGCTTATGTGGACATTGGTAGAGTATATACTTCACCGATTCTTGTTCCACATGAAGACTTCTTCTTACTGGTGCGTGATTTTGATCCTGTATTGCCGTGCCTTTTGAACTTTGCCACGTTAATTGATCAAATCTGAGAAATTCGGTATATCTGTAGGTCCAACACCATCCATTACGTTTTACATGGATTCCACCACAAACATCCCATGGACAGTGACCGCCTCGTATTCCCACCGCTCTTCGCTCTCTCCATCATCATTCCGGTATGTTTCTCTGATGTCAATGAGCTTTACACTTGCGTCCAAATGAATGCAATTTGTGAGAAGGATTTTCAACGAAGTTAGCTAACTGGGTTGTCGGTGACCACACTGCACAGGTGTGGTTTGCGCTTCAACTTGTCGTGCCATCTCCAGCTTATCACTCATCACTGTTCGGAGGGCTACTATCGGGCTATATTCTGTATGATGTCACTCACTACTATCTCCACTTTGGCATGGCGTTTACTCCGCGTCTCCACAAGATGAAGAAAGATCATTCCGACCACCACTTTAAAAATCAGTTGTACAATTACAGCTTCGGGGTGACCAGTCCTTTTTGGGACATTGTCTTTAACACTCTCCCTCCTTCGAAGGCTTTTTTTAGACACATACGACAAACAAATGCAGTATATAGTCAGTAGAAGAGTAGAAGGGTACCAAATGCCTAAAGGTCACACATCTTCAGTGCATCTCTGAGGAGTATCATTATAAAGATGAACGCTTACTATTCAGATAGTATAATTTTTATATATTTTACTAACTGGTTGAACCATCCATGTAGCTCGTGCAGTTGAGGTGGAGCCTTTGAGCTGCGATTACAACACTCGATGGACTTAATTTTTTCTGACACAGCAGGGAATGACTTCACTTATTAAAGGACATTACTTCATTCTTTTGATCATCCTTGCCAGCAAAGGATGCGCATTTCGGTATTCCTGAATTGCTCTCATAAAACATTTGTGTTAGGAACACAATGGCGAGCACACTGTTCTACTGTGACTCGCTGATTAACACTGCACTAGTGTCTGTTTTGGTTGCTAACTTGAACCGTGATCACAACTTTGGCACTCAAGTGATTGGTTGTAAGATCCCAATGCTTTGTACCGGGGGCTTCGGCCTGACGGCGTCGGCCTGATGTGGAGTGAATGTTGAGAGTGATGACTTGGACGTCTTCAACTACTCACGAGGGTGAATAAATAGGCTGGAGCACGGCCACACGATGAAGGTTATGAAGGATAACAGAACGAGATCGATGGCAATTACTGTTCCTACAAGGATGAGGAACCGTTCGATTGAGTGTATTTGCCGACGTCTCCTCTCTTTAAACATGGGGTCCACCTTGTATTATTCCCCTATTTTTTTCTTTTAAATTCTGATAACTTCTCACTGTCAACACAACCTCAAGTCCCTAACTTCAGATATAAAAAAAACGTCCGAACCTGGCATATTGAAACCAACCTTCTCAAAAAATTGATCACTCCGAAGGGAATCGAAGTCTCAGAAACCAAAACCTGCAGGAGATGAAGTATCGTCAACCCGAACCACAAAATTCCCTCGATAGTAGAAACACAAGAATTTCATCATCTAGAGGAGCACCGCACAGGGGATTTCGGAGTCACGGCGGTGTGGACGAGTCCACGTTCATGCAGCTCCATGTCTCGTAACGGCGACTGTTAGACATAAGAGACAGATCATGACGAGTGCGACGATCAGGTCGATGGGAATGTATGTAACCGAGAATGTTCACTAGTGGATTACAGTATAGTATGAAGGGAAATTATACCTTCTTTCCAAATCATACGAACAGCGTACTCTCTCTCTCATACTGTTACACTTGGAGTATTAAATTGGAGGCCCTCTTTAGTTGAGTAGAATTGTGGAGAGTAGTTAATGGCTCTGAGGTTGCACTTGATGCATTTAATTTGGTGCAACATCATGACTAGATTTTAAAGGATATTTAAAATACTTCTATATTGTAGAAATAAGCAACTTATGATACTACATAAAGTACCTATATCAAAGGCAGTTTGAAATTATATCAAGCGTATTTACAAACAATCAAATAAAGCTTCTCAGGTACATTTCCACAAGACGTTTTGTTATTTAACTATAGACAAGAATGAAGATGTGCATGCATTCATATAAAATTGACAATATATCCTTAAGAAAGTTGCAATTATTGATTGTGTTTTCAGTGAATCACAATAAGTCAATTTATTATTAGTTGTTCTTTCTAATTCATGGAGTGCATTCATTACAATCTAAGGTCAAATTAATGATTTAACCTTTTCAACATCATTATCTAATATATTACAATCTTATCAATATGTTTAACCTTATCAAGATTATACTCTTAGTAAAGGCTTGCTCTATTTCAAGTAGCAAATTTATGTACTCGACAATGCTAAATTTCAAACATGCATACTTCAGAAGGGACATGACATCATAATATCTCGACATTTGAAACGAGAAAAGAGTCTAAAACGGATCCCAAGGATATGGTTTTAGATAGATTTGGATTATGATGTTCGAACCTTTGTATGTTCTTGAAAGTCATGTCAATGTAACAAAGTATGCAATGCAATATTTCTTGGATTATTGCAACCAATTTCGCTGCTTACAGTATGTTGGAAGTAGGTGACTATGGATCTCATTACATTTTTGTCGCAAATGCCTCATAATCATACTACAATTGCCATCTTTGTGGATTGGCACTCGAATTGGCTGCTATGTGCTCGGATATTGATGCCCCAATGCTTGTACAAGTCTTCTTTGATATCATCTTTTATCACCATAGATTACATCGTGTCATCATTTCACATCAAAATCCAAGTTTTATGAAAAGTTTTTGGCAAGTCTTGTTTAAGCTACTAGCACATGACTTGCCATATCTACAACCTTCTATCCTCAAATAGATAGGCAAACAGAGCGTGCAAATTGGACCTTAGAAGATATGCTATAGGCATTTGTGACGGTTCATCATAATGATTAAGATGAATACTTGATATCCTTAGAGTTTGCTTATAATGATAGTATTCAAGCAAGTATCAATCATTCACCATTTTTCTTTAATGGTAGTCAGCATCTGATTATGCCAACAACTCTCCATCATTCCATCAATATCAACAACTCAACAATGGAGGAATTCATACAACATCTTATAACTGCCTTACAAGAGATATGGTACTGCCTCTTTACTATACATAATCGACAGAAGTAGTATGCAAATAATCATTGGTAATATAAGACCTTTTGGGAGGATGATTAGATATTACTCTCTATTGCCAACTTGTCACTTGCTACATCAATACAAATCCGTAAACTAACACCTTGATGGCTTGGATCTTTTTACATTTTTACAATGATATGTGATTTTACATATCTCCTCGAGCTTTCGCCACATATTTGAGTCCATTAAATCTTTCATGTTTTGTAACTGAAGGAAGTTCATATAGAGCCAAAGCGCTTCTTGGATCGATATCAACCACCACCACCACGAGTTGTAGTAGATGATCAACAAGGATATGAAGTGGACAATGTTTTGGAGCATCGCTATCTTTGTCGTGGCAGTAGACATCTACAACTTCAGTACAAAGTCCTTTGAAAAGATTGTCCCATTCTCAATGCAATGTAGAAATTTATACAAAACCTCATCCATTGCCAAGAAACAATTTGGAGATACCATCGGGAGCGAAACGAGGACGTTCCACATTAGTGGAAGGGGATTAACTATAACAAGGTATAAATAAGTTAAATTATATAGATAATTAGAACCATAGAAGTTTCTAGAATTGAAATTAGATTAATGCATTAGATAGGATCCATCATAGAACATTCTAGAAAGAGTTTAAGGTAGTTATTTAGGTGAGATCTACCATAGAACCTTCTAGAAGAAAGCTTAGGATGGTTATCTAGGTGGGCTCTACCATAAAATCTTCTAAAAAAGAATTTAATATGGTTCTCCAAGTGGAGCCCATTACCTAGAAATAATCTAGAAAGTTTAGGGTGATAGGAAAAAGCATAAATAGGACAAGCCAGGGCCTTTTAGACTATCTGGTCAGATATGGCTTTGGATCCTTTTTCTTAGTAAAGTTTGATTTTGCATCTTTCTGTTCAAATTTTTTTTGTTCTATTTTTGTTTGCTTAGTTCTGTCTTTTATGCTCTATTTTGTATAATTTCATTCAGTTTTATTTTGGTCTATTTAGTCCTATTTTGTGAGGAGGCCATATGTTGTTGTAGAATGGAAGGATCTTACGTTTTTGCGATAGTCTAGTTGTGTTTCAATTACTCTTTTTTAAGGTGCTATTAACTCAGTTGCATATATGATGAATAAGATAAATAAGAAGTTGAGAGATTTTATTCTTGAAAAGACTATACATTTTTTGGATGATGTTTCTATTAAAGGGTATAAAGAAGAAGACAAGGATGAGACTTTAGATAAGAGAAGGTGTTGCAAGTATATTGTTGATTATATATAAGATTGTAAAAAAATATTGACTCAACTTGAAGAAGTTCATCTTATATTATTGGATATAAAATCTATATTTGAGATACAAGAGGTTGTAATTATTGGATATTTATGTCGATTTTATAGAAGAAAATCAAATCTAATCAAAATTGATGCAATTGAAAGAATAAAAGATAATTGTAATTTTTTAATAGAGGTGTATAAGTTTTTGGATGCATATATATTTTATCATATTTGAATTCCTCATTATGCTCACATAGCAAATCTATTATATAAGTTATTTCACAAAGGTTATCAATTTAAATGGAGAGAAAAGTACATTAAATTATAATATATAAGATTGTAAAAGTATTGAAGAAATTATTGATATTACCTCTAATATTGAGGAAAATTAATTATAAGTATAACAGACTAATGATTCTTATAGTGAATAGTAGTCCAATTGCCATTAGATGGGCTGTAAGTCAAGATGATTCAAATGGATATAGATTTGTAGTTTGATTTAGAACTAAGGTTTTAAGTACTTGCCAATGTACATATTCATAAATAAAAAGAGAATTATAAGAGATTGTTTTAGCTATAAAAGCTAAAAAAAGATTATTTGATGTGAACAATAGTGGTAATTGAAACAAATTATTTATCTTTACTTAGATTGATTATTAATTATACAATACTAGATATTGTAATGTTAAGATGGATTGCTTATATTAAATCATTCAAAATTTATGCATGTTGTAGAAAAAGATAATCCGATAGCAAATATTATCTTGAGCAAAATATGATAGAAAAGATGAGATGATTGAAGATATTAATGATGTGGGTAAAATTTTTTATTTGGTTTTAGAATTAAACAAAGAAAATAATTCATTTCATAAAGGAAATTATAAAAGGGAGTTATTAGATATTAGACATTATTTGAGCACATTAACTAAGCACACTAATTGGTTGGTTTAAAAATTTAAAGAAATCAAGAAAAAGGCATACAAGTTTATATTACAAAGATGATTTCTTTAGAAGAGGCCAAAGTAAAATATTAAAATGCCAAAACGAATAGTAGGTATGAAGGAAGATCAACAAAAATTTCTTTTAATTTAGTTATTTTAGGTTTATTACAGCTAAAAAAATATGATTCTTAAATAGATTGAATTTCTTATAATCTTAAATTTTCAAAGAATATAATTAAGAGTATTGTTAACTAAGTAAAAAGTCATAAGTTTAAAGCAACCAAACCTATATTTATAGCTATAAGAGCTTTTTTATATGTTATAAAAAAAAGGTCACTTTATTTATGCCAACTATTTCTAATGGTCAAAAGACTTTAAATGATATTCTTGTTAGTTATCTAGATAATATTATAATCTATTCTAAAAACATAAAAAAATATAAACTTCATATTTGTTATGTATTTCAAAAACTAAAAGATGCAAGTTTCTATGCCAAGATAGAAAAGTATATATTTTATACTATTTAAGTCAACTTCATAAGATACATCATTTCAAATGGTGGATTTATGATAGATCTTAAAAAAGTTCAAATGATTTTAAATTAAATTTTTTTAAAAACTATAAGAGATGTCTAATGTTTTTTGAAATTTATCAATTCTTATTGAATCTTCATCAAAAACTTCTCTCAAGTTGTACTTTTACTTACAAGTTTGACTTATTAAGATTTAGTAATTCATTTGTCGGAGCTACATGCAACGATGAAGGCATAGTTGAAAGAAGCTCAAGAACAACAAAAGGTCAATGCGGATGTCTATCGAAAGGAACAACCACCATTCCACATGGGTGATAAGATATGGTTACTTCATCGCAATATCAAGACCACTCGTCTTTGTGACAAGTTGGACTATCAAAGGCTTGGACCATTTTCTATTTCTGCACAAATCAATCCAGTTGCATATCGTTTATATCTACCGGAGTCAATGAAAATCCATCTAGTATTCCACGTGTCTCTTCTTGAACCATACAAGATAGTGGACATACCAAGAAGAAGACAAGCTCCACCTCCTCCTATAGAAGTAGACAATAATGAAGAGTTTGAAGTGGAAGAAGTCTTAGATTCAAGGCGATGCCAAAATAAATTAGAATATCTTGTCCATTGGCAAATATGGTCCAAGCCATATTATTGTATGTGGCGAATACAATTCGTCGCATCATAGATTTTCTTAACATATGACTACTGCTCTTCGTGGAACTTGTCCCTAGAAGGGGGGATAATGTCACAGACATATGCATGTAAGCCAATAATTACATGTATAAATACATAGAAGTAAGTAAAAATAGGTAAAAATAAGTTAATTCTATAGTATTTGGTATGAAAGCTTCCTAGAAGCTTTATAGATGCCGCTTTGACTTTATAGGCATCTTTAATTAACTTTTTGGAATTAGAAACGTGGTCAATAAGTTGGCCATGTGCCACACATGTTGTTAGCTTGAAGACCAAGCTAACTATATGGCTTACAAGTAAAAAAAACTTGTCTTGTAAGTCAAGGCATGTGTCCTATAAAGTCAACACATATTAGAGGTCTTATAGAATGGCACCATGTAGTCCTTAGTTAGATAGTATATATAGAGACAAGGGTGAAGCCTTCTTCACTCTTGTCAACTCCTTTCTTGCTTCCAGTCTAGTTTCATGGGTTTCTAGTTTTCTTGGTTTTTTGGCAATAACCATTCCAATTTCTTTCTTAATATATATATATATATATATATATATATATATTTATATATTAAATTATTTCTATTTTGTCATCTTTCTTTGAGAGAAGTCTCACTCGTTTATTTGTCTTCATCATGTTCTTGTCTTTGACAGTTTGTTAGATTTTTATTTTTTAGAAAATTTAATCATATATCAAAAGAAAGAGATGTGGCTTTTGATCAATAACAGAATTTTTTTTTGAAACTAAAGCAATTTAATCTTCAAGTAATGAAATCAATACTAAGTATTGATTCAACTTTTTTTTAAGCAAGTTCAATTACATATGTTCTTTGATCTTTTTGTTTGTGATATTTAGAAAAATTCTTTAAAATCTCATAATACTTCTAAGTTTGAATTCAAGAACAATCTATTCTATTTCAAGGATTGGTTATTTATTCAAAAAGGTGAGGCATGATTATATGTTTTCAAAAAAATGAAGCATGATTGTATATTCTCTAAGTTTATTAAAACTTTCCAATAGCATGATATTTTAAATACAAAAATACTTTAGAATTAATATCTAGAGATTTTTGATGGCTTCAAGTGAGAAAGATAGTCAAAATTTTTGTACAAACATGTGATGTTTTTTCAAGATAAAAAACTTTTTGTCATGGATTTTATAGACTTCTATGGCCATTACCTATTCCAAAACAACTATGGTCTTTTATTTCTATGGATTTTATCATGGATCTTCTAGTTTCATATTTCTATGATTCTATGTTTGTGATAGTAGATTGTTTTATCAAAATGGCACATTTTATACTATTTACAAAATTTATGAGAAGCAAAGAAATAATTAAGCTTTTCATTGATAACATCTATTGCTATCATAGATTATCTAAGGGTATCATATCAAATAGGGGGACTCAATTTGTATTAATATTTTCGAGAATTCTTTTTAAGATTTTAAAGATGGATATAAAACTATCTTTGAATTTCCACTCTCAAATTGATGGACAAATATAGTACATAAATTAGGTTTTGAAGTAGTATTTGAAGTAGTATTTAAAGTATATTGTCAACATACAACAATAAAGGACATCTAAAAGAAGTTCAAGAACAACAAATAATCAATGGAAATACCTATTATAAGGAACAATCTCAATTCTACATTAGCAATAAAATATGGTTACTTCTTAATAATATCAAGACTATTTGCTTTTGTGATAAGTTGGATTATAGTAGACTTAGACCATTTTCTGTATGTGAACAAGTTATCCAATTACTTATTGATTATATCTACCAAAATCTATGAAAATCTATCATGTATTTCACATGTCTCTTCTTGAACCATATAAAATAGTGAATATTCTAAGAAAAAGACAAATGCCATCATCTCATATAGAAGTAGATAATAATTAAGAATTTGAAGTAAAAGAAGTCTTAGATTGAAGGTGGTACCAAAATAGATCAAAATATTCTATTTATTAGTGTATACATGACATTATTGAATGTATATAGGAGCCAACAAAGAATATAGAATCTTGTGAATGTAACCAATAAGATTAAAAATTCTTTATCATTGATATCTATCAAAATTAAGATGAAGAGTTAAGTAATTTATATGTGGATAACTCCTAGAAATTGTTTCTAGAAAGGGAGATAATGTCATAGATATACATATTTACTCCAAAAGTTACTTAGATAATATGAATAGATAGAAATAGGTAAAAAATAAATTAATTTCATAATATCTTTTAGAGAAATTTCTTAAAAGCTTCATAGATGTAATTTCACCTTTATACATGTCTACAAGTGATTAATAGGTTATAAACTTGGCCAACAAGTTAGCCACATATTATAGCCACATAATTTATTAATATTTAAGTAAAAAAATGTGTAACGTGCTGTCATGTCGGAGGTTCATGGAAACTTCTCCCAATGACAACCTGGCGTCACGTTCATCGTCTTTCCATCCAAGAAATCGTCCGTCCGTCCGTCCGTCCGTCGTCGTCGTCGTCGTCAAGGGGCCGAATGGCAGGCAGGGGGGACAGTGAGAGCGAGGCTGATGGTGATGATAGAGGGAGAGACGCCATGAATAATGTCCCCTTTCCTTTCCTTTGAATCCTCATCACCAGTCGCACCAGTCGCACCATTCCCTGCCCAGAGCCGTTGCGCGCCGCCTTTCCACCTCCGTCGCTGCCTCTACACCTCTCACCTGTCCCTCCGCCGCTCGGGGCTTTTCTCATTGCCCGTGGTGCTCCTGCTCCTGTTGCTGCTACTGTCGCTTCAGTCGATGCTGCGCTTCTCTGTGGGCGCTGCAAGTCTGTTTGTTGTGCGTATGGGCCACCTTTTCTGAGGTGAGTGTGGGTCTGGGCCCGAGGCATTGGGTTTGTATTTTCTTTTTCAGTGTAGCGGGTGTTCAAGCTTTGTATTGAGAATGACTGAATGAATGCTGTATGTCGTGGCGGCCTGGCATTTGAAGAAATGGGTACGGTGGCTACCAATCCGAGGAGGCCTAGAGTAGCTTGTTCGTCTTTTCTAGAATGGTTGTTGAACTTCTCAATGACTACAGCTCTTGTTCAGGTTTTTTTGGGATGACCTCGCGGTAGGTCCTTCGTGTGATGCTACCTTCTGCTGTCGATGGTTGCAATTGTAGCGGTTTTTCTTCTCGTTGTTTGAAACTTCTGGAAATTACATATCTGTTGAACGAAAATATCGTTATCAGGTCTACCAAACTCTGTACCGATTCGTAACAACTTCTTCGTGATTTCGTTCTGCTGGTACTGATCTCTGGTTTCCGTAGTTCAACCTCCGATCCTGAGCGTGCAGTTATTGTGTATCGTTGTTTGTAGATCAGAACCCTCATTAGATGGATCCTGGTAGCGCAACCTCCTTCATGGACATCCACTATCAGAAGCAGTACAGTGTAGTTCATGAAACAGTTGAGCAGTTCAAGGTTGTGGGCTCATACGCTACAGAGGAGGAGGCATTAACCGCTGCGCTGGACTGCCAGATCGACGTCTTCAAAGCTACTAAAGATCAAGTTCTAGTCCAAGTGAGACAATGGTTACCTGAGAAGCCTTTGGCATGGCAACTTCGAATGCTCCAAGATGCAATGGAATCGTATTTCCTTGATGTAGGGTTTGAATCTTTGTCGGACTACTTCACGGTCACGGATCAGCCTATCACGGACGTTGCTCCGAAGAAGAGGAAGATGGCGACCACGCCAAGAGGCGAGTCGAAGCTGGCGAAGTCTAATACCAGATGTGGCATCGCAAGTACTTCCGCATTGAAAACCATGTCTAGATATATGTACCAGACCTCGCCATTCGGTATGTCCTAAGAGTATAATCTAAGTTTGTTCTCATATTTTCTAGTTGAGGGCGTGGGTCCACCAGACGTCGAGGCAATGTGAATCTAGATCTGGTCCATTCTTCTCGTGAAGAAGTTTTCTGGACATGGAAGGCAAGTAATCCTGGATCCTGCCCAAGTCGACGATAGAGACAGTTGCAGAGTAGCTGTGTTTCTTTTATTTTGTTTGAGATTCAGACCTCCGAGAACGTGTATCTGATCCAGCTTATCGACAACACATGAGGTGCCGTGTAGTGCGCTCTAAATTTTGTAGAAGTTACGGAATTATCTCCAGATTAATGTGATTAATCTTACTTCCACCCGGTTTTACTCTCCGTGTCTTGCATACCCTGGACATGGCCGTTTTGGTTCATACTCGGATGCAGGAGAAGCACTGAGTTTTGAGTGAATCTGTCTAACTCTCGTCTATGCATTACATAAATTTACAAGTTCCATACTTCTCACCCCTTATTGAAACTAAGCTGCATGTCTCACCAGCTTGTCCAGTTCAATGAACTGGACAAGGAGGATACCCACCCGGGTATCTTTTCATCAGCACATTGTCTTCAGAGGGAAGCACAAGGCCAAATTGATCCTATTAAGGGAGTGCGATTGGAACAGTGGCAGTCGTAATGAGTTCCACAAGTTTCCGAGTTTGTCGAGAGGAAATAGAGCAGTTTCAAAGTTTGGAATTCCGAAGCTCAATAAACTCAAATTCCTAAATCTCACTTATAAAATAATTACATCACTTGTGTCCTTACTATAATGTTTAGTTGTAAACAGCCATCGATGCCTTTGTGTTAAGGCGATTCCCAGATGCAGAACTAGTGGGTAGAGCCTTTGCCTCGTAATCGCAATGTTGTACAGATCGTTTTCTGTCCAATTCTCTCAAAGGAGTACAGATTCCGCATAAACAATGTGGAATGTGGAGAGTATCGCTTTGGTTACTCTAAGCTTTAACGGACAATAGCAGCATTGCGGTTGCTCTGTTAAAATTATGAAGTATTGAGAAACTGGTACGGACATTGGTTTGACTCGCGCTTGAGAAGAGCAGAATTGTGATTTTTCGCACCCTGGGGTGGAATAATCGCGCTTAAAAAGAGCAACATTGTGATTTTTACAAACTCGTAGTTCCCCTTTCTCTCCCCTTGAGTCCACCGAAAGCAGCTGGCATGTCGCCGATTTGGCAGCAGGAAATATGTAAGATTAAACCAATATCGCTTCAAGAGATTGGTCAGGTGTGCACATTTGCACTCTGGACGTCGTGAGTCGTGTAAAAATTTGTTGTAAAAGGGTCGTGCTGTATGCGTTTCATGAAGTTTTATGTTCCAGCATAAATGTCGCTATGTTTTTAAGTCAAATATATTGTTACTGTGAATTGATTATCGTCTTCTATTGCTAATTAGGTTCTTCCAACTGCAGTATTATAATTATCTATAGCAATGAACTATTTTGTAAAGCATTGTTAACATATAATTCCAAGATTAAAACATCAAATCGCAGTTGGCATAGAATTAGTGCATATAGTTTGTTGTATAGAAAAATGGAGAACTTTTATTAAATTCAATTATTCTTCTAATAAAATTGTGGATAGTTGATGACACATGATCTACTTCTCTGATAGCAAACTGACTAACTGATTATTGTTAATTTTCTAACCTTTCATGAATAAATTGTTTAAAAAAGATCAAATAGTAATGTTATTTAATAAGTTTAAATAGCCTTATTGGAACATTGCAAAAGCATCATAGTATTTATTTTAGTTAATTTTGTTTGTTTTTGCTTTGTCTTTATTGCTTCTTTTGTTGCTCATTCATATAGTGGTATTGATAGAAGAAAGAGGATCTATTTTTTTTTTTATAGATGTCATGGAATATGTAGCATTTTGGAGTAATAAAGAAAATATCTTTGAACTTATATTAATTGATTCATGATATATCTAATGCATAATTTATATTGAAGAACATATAAAGCAATACAACTCATATCTTTATATCTTTGTAAGTGGATATAGGAGTAATTAGAAAACCTAAAAAATTACAACTAGCCTAAGTTAATTTTTTAGTATTTTATGCATATTAATGATATTTTGTGGTATCATCAAATTCTATTTAATTGTCATGTTGGATCCACATTCAAACATGTTCTTTGATATCTATATCCTATCTCATTATTTGAAAAGTATTAACTTGTGTTTAAAATTGGTTTCAATCTCATTGGATATGATTTTCTATAAAATTTGTCTATATTCAATAAGTCATATTTAAATAATTTGTATAGTATAATGGTTGGTTTATACCTTAGATTTAAAAATAAATTTTTTCTTATTGAATCTATATTATTCAAATATGTAATCTACATAATAAAAATAAAATGGTAGAAAATCTCTCAAATCAAGTATGTAGAGGTTGGACAAAAATTGGTGATACTCAAATAAAGATGGCCTTGGTTTTTGGATATGATATTTTTATCCATTTTTATTATATATGTTAACAATACAAACATATTGCATTATAAAATTTTAGAAATTAAATTACTTTTTATTTTAGTTGAATGTAGCAAAAAAAAAAAAAAAAAAAAAAAAAAGAAGATGACAACAAGATGTTATTATCAATAACTCTCCTAACTAAGTTAAATCTTTTTGAGTTCTAGTAATTAAGTTTGTATTAGAATTTATCAATTAAGAACTTATGAATATTTAATGTTCTTATTGATAGACCAAATGATGTATCTAGGATTTTTTTAGATTATTAGAAGACACTTATGTCCATTCAAATCTTTTAATCTACACAAGGCATTTATTATATTCTTGTAATGCTAATTTGCAACTAATTTAGACCAATTTATTTTTAAATTAAAAGCTAGGTTAAACTCTTAAATAATCTTAATTAATATAAATACATCAAATTTTTTGCTATTAACTATGAAAGTAGAATTATTTGTATATCAATAGATATAAGTTTTTAAATTATTATATTAATTATTTTTTCAACAATAATAAACAAGCAAGTAGCTAGTAGATAATAGGTATCTTTGCCTAACACTTCTTTTTGTATGAAATTAGTATGTCTTGATTTGACATATTAACCTTCTTACTTCCAATTCTTTAAGTGAGTTTTGACCTTATATTATCTTCAAGAACTCTTAAAATAAAGTAATATAAGTATGTTATTTGAATATTTTTTTAATCAAGAATGATAATTAATTCATGTGTAAAGACATGGTTCTTGATCATGAAGTTAAAAAAAATGCCCTATTAACTCACAAATCTATATCCATGAATGAAAACTATATTGACAACTCAAGAGCTATCATTGGCATAAAAATTCTCATAAACTATTAAGTTTTAATGTAAATAAGTATCAAACTATACTTTGGTTATTAAAATGAGAAATAAAAATTTAGTCTTTATTTATTGCTTAAGAAGATATCTACCTTCAAGTTACTTAAAACTCATTGTGTATATGTAATATCAAACTCCATATGTAGCTCTTAACAATTTAGTAACTTTGATCTTTGTCCATAGTACATATAATATCACTAATATTCATGAACCTTGAATGGTAATGTGTGAGATCATTTTTTTTTTTCTTGCAAACATAAATTTAAAATATAAAATCAATCATTCTAATAGTCACTTGCATAGTCTCATATAAATTCTTCATGCTTTTGAAAACTTCCAAATAATAACATATAATGCAATTCTTAGGTCAAGTCAGGAAGGTTTATTGTAATTTGGTTCCTACCTATTTTGTAAAATCATATTGCAATCTAATGTACTCGAAAACCACACAAATTAAATATAAATACTTGAAGAGGACTAATTGAGAATCTGAATCAAAATTAAATCTTGAGGCATAAAACCATGCAACTACTACAATTCCAAGGTTCTTTTGTTAATTAAAGAGCAAGATTAGAAAACACACTTTAAGAAGTTTGTTTAAGGATTTTTTGTGTGCAATTTTGATTATTATTGAATTTATAAGAGCTACACAAAGTCAAAGATGTTTTAGATGATTTGAGATTTTGAGAATTAAAAAAATATATATATTTTTTTATTTTAATTTTTAGCATGGTTTCTTTGATTTTAAATAATTTTTTAATTGGATTAAAATAATTTATTTTTAAGCAAAAAATACACTTAGTTTGCAACATTTCTATGAATTTTTAAGGCAAGTTAATAGTTTAATAAGGAGTTATTGTTGCTGAAAAATTGATATTGAAGATAAAAAAAGAAGACGATTGATATCAAAGAAAATTAAAAGATTTTTATCCAATTGGTAAATTTTATTTTATATAAAAAAATTGTGTACTTATTGTTAAATTGTAGATTGAAATGTATAAAATCTTTTAAGCAAAATCAATGATTTAATTAATAATTATTGAAGTTTGAAACTGCTACAAGGATTGATTAGTATTGGTTAAGATTCAAGTAAGGCTTTATTAAGATTTTTAGGATTTTTTGGATTTATTTAGGATTTTATTAGAATTTACTTAGAATTTTAATAAGATTTATATAAGATTTTTTTAAGAGTTTCTTTATAATTTTTAAGGATATTTTTAAAAAGGATTTTGTAAAGATTATTTACAATTTCTTTAGAGGTTCTTTATGATTCTTTTTAGGATTTCTTTAAGATTTCTTTGAAATTCAATTAATATTTGATTAAGATTATTAAGACTTAATTAGAATTTATTTAATATTTTATTAGGATTATTAGGTTCTTTATTCATTGTAAAATTTAAGTTTATCTATTATAGCTAAGTACATAATAAAAAAATAAAGACACCTATGTAATCTTAAACTCTTAAACTTCTAAACTCCAAATTATAAAATAAGAGAATTAAAAAAACCATAATCATCCACATAATCTTTAATTAAAAACCTTAAACCTTAATTTTAATAATTACATACAAATTATTATTGCGAAGAAAATGTACTAAAAACTCTATTGTAATTATATCTAATATTTATATAGACTCCAATTTATTGACTTTTTTTTTTAATAAATTTAACTTAATTTATAAAATATTTTAAATCATAATAAATACTTTGATCATTAAATAAAATTCAAAATTTTAGTATGTTTATATTTACATAATATTAAAATTTTGGTTTTAACAATTTCACCAATTAAAATATATTAGTGGAATTCATAATATATCAAATAAAAATTAAACATTAAAGATGTCAAAAAATTAATCACATCCATATAACCTATATACTATTGCATTATATAAATATATATATATATATATATATATATATATACCTTCTCAAGACTTAATTCTACATTTCTCACTAACTTATCAATGTATTCTCTATTAATTATTAACT